GGAAGATCAGAGAGAAGTTACTGACTCACCTCCTAAAGCCCTGAAACGGGTGGTCAAGTAGGGAGTTTCAGGATATTTGACAGTCAGCCTACTGCATGAGCACCAGAAGGAGGGGTCTGTGGATAGCTGCAGCTTCTGTGCAGTTCACACTTCTGTGGGTGCACAGAGAAGCAGCTGGTGGTGAGCTGATGCTGCTGTTGGTCAGCTTGGCTAGAAGTTGGGGAGAAAAAGCTAGACACAGTGATGGAAAGGGAGGGTGATCTGGATCCAGGTGGACACCTCAGTGTCTGTCTGTTACAATACAGGGTATGGCAAAAGTAGGTTTATAGTTGTGAGTATGCAAAACACAGGGTTTACTCTTGTACTATTATTTATTGTATTATTTTCCATAGGAACAAGTGTAAACCTACTTTTGCCCCACCCTGTATTAAACCCTGAAGTCCTTAAGAGAGTGATGGCCATTTCTACATTTTTGCCTCTCAAATTTGATGAAGCTTCCTCTATTTATTGTCCAAGTCCAACTTGTTTCCATGTAGAGAAGGGAATTCTGGAACATACAGTTCTAGCTTTATAAAGCTGACAATAGAATGATCCAGCACATCCATATCTGCATATTATTTTATTTTGTGCACCTTATCTACACCTGTACAATATTTCAATAGTTTGTTATATATATATTTTTTTATTGACTTCAGAGAGAGGAAGGAGAGGGAGAGAGAGAGATAGAAACAGGGATTCTGTTTCTGTTTCTACTAGGGGTTGAGCTCACAACCTGGGCATGTGCCCTGACCGGGAATTGGACTGTGTGTGACTTCCTGGTTAGGGCAATGCCCAACCACTGAGCCACACCAGCCAGGCTAGTTTGTTATACTTTTTAATGTAAAGAATATTTATATATGTATAACCATCAGGTATATGGATATTTTTAATAGTCTATTTCACTTTTTTCTATTCATTATTTACTTTTTTACTAAAGCATAATTTGTTATTTTAAAGATGGGTCCTTTTAAGAAATAGTGTTTCTTCTTGACCAGCGCTATTGATTGAATATTTATGTCCCCCTAAAATTCAAGTTGACATTTTAACCTTCAAAGTGATTGTATTAGGAGGTGGAGCTTTGGGGAGGTGATTAGGTCAAAGTGCTCATGAAAAAACTTAGTGCTTTTATAAAAGAGGCCCTTCTGCAATGTAAAGACCTGATGAGAAAACTTCTCTCTATGAACCAGAAAGTGGGCCCTTATCAGTTGTGGGAAATAAATTTCTAGTTCATGGTATTTTGTTATAGCAGCCCAGGCTGACTAAGGCAGTCAGAGTGGTCAGAGTGAGGTCAGAGTACCAATCCAATAGCCACGGGGTAAGCCCCACACGCAGGCCTTGCTACCATTTCAGGCCTGGTCTTCTGACTTTGGGTGGATAGCTAGGGGGACTCGTGTTTTCTCTCTCTTTCTTCAGAACCAGAACAACGAAAAAGAAAGAGCATTGTTTGTATTAGGAGCTTTCATCATGGCCTAGAAAGATTTCTGTACAATTTATGAATAGACACTTAATTCTCTTAATTTGATTCAGTTCAGTTAAGGTCAATTTATTTCAACACTAAAAATGTTCTCTCAGCACTTACTCTGTGCCAGGCACCGTCCTAAGTACTGTGGATATTGTGAAATTAATTAAACCAAGAGACCATTAGACTGAGGAGGCTCTAGTGCTGTGGCCGCCTATGTAAGCAAACCCAAATCCAGGCCTGCAGATGCCTCAAGGTTATAAAATGGAAACCTAAGGACAATCAATTACACAGACAAGTAGGAATTAAGCTATAGCCAGTCAATCATTTCCTTACTTTCCTTCCTCTTTTTTTCTATAAAAGTCTCTCTCTCAGATCTCCTGTAGGTTGAGAACTCCTAACCACTTCCGATTTCCTGCTGCCTTATTTGCATAGATCTTTGCTCAAATGAACTCTTAAAAGTGTTAATATGCCTCGGTTTATCTTTTGACGAGATGAACAAGGTAACAATGGTTTCTGCCTTCATGGAGCTTTCAGTCTGAGAGGGAAGATAGCCTTTAACTATGTGTAGCGAGGTGTAATAAACATTCTTTTCAGAAAGTGCTTCATTAGATTCTCATCAGTTATTCTTGTTAATTAGGGGGAATGTTCTAAGTTAAGAAGTTTCTAGTTATTGATGGAGTATATATATATATTGTTAATGTTTTAGTGTAATTAGCTAAAAATGTCACTCAATTTTCTATAATAACTAGTGAAGTTAAAAAAAAAAAAAAGCTATTTTCTGAGCATAGCCTGTTATTTCTCTGGGCAATAATGAAACTCATGTCCACTCTAATGTACCAGTGTGGTGACCTTCTAAATAGTGAAAATTACAAGTTATACTTTTACATATGTATAAGCATCTTGGCTATCCATTAAACTGACATCTAAAATATCAGCTTTATTACATATGTGTCTGGAATCTGAAATACAACAGTTCTCCAATTAAACACACAGCACAGACATGGCCTGGTCAACACCCACCATAGGTTTTTAAGTTGAAATACCTTAATACAGAGAATTGGTTACGTGGATGGTGAAAGAATTGAGATGCCAAACAGGGGACTGTGAGGCAACCTAAGATCATCAGAAGCTGGATACCATTTCCACCTTCAGGGCCTTTCTAAGATCTGGAAAAGAAGGTAGATGGAGTTTCCAGAGCCCAGAAGTCAGGGCCTTCAAGTAGGGTGCGTCTGTCTGAAGCTGCAACTATGGGGGAAGAGTTGTCTAGCAGAGCTGAAGCCACAGAATAGACATGGCCAAAATTTTCAATGAAGCCCCAGGAGTGGGCGTTGGAAGGGTGATGATGGTGGTGGTGATGGTCGGATCAAACACCCTGACTTCATTCCTACCCCTGCTATCTTACCAGTGCTTCCCATTGACTAGATCTATCTGGAAACAGATAATACAGGAGCCTAAAAAAAGCCTGTAGGGTCAACCTGTCCCTCTTTCCCACCCTAACAAGAGACAAGGGAGAGTAGGGCAAGGGCAAGGCATGGATCTGTGGGCATACGTCAGACACTTGGTTAAGAGAAACAATATTTGAGACTATGGTATTGTATAAAGCAGTGGTTCCCAAGAATAGATACCTAATCAGAATTGCTTGGGGTATTATTATAGCTTTTTAGGATTCAATTTAGACCATTGGAATCCTTGTTTTTAATAAGCACTCCTGATGATTCTGGTGTGCAGCTAGGTTTTGGGAACCACTGCAACAAAGGTCACACAAAGGCCTTTCATTCTTCTGAAAACACATTGTATCAGATCATCAGAAAGTTAAATAGTAGAAAGTTAAATAGTGTTTTTTCTATAATTCTCCAAAAGGAGGCATCGTACAATTATAATTTATTATATAGTGCCTACTCACTGTCCTCTCTCAACACTTATTTTTCCTTTTCTATTTCAGAATTGTTATATAAGGTAGCCAAAGAAAGTTTTATGTATTCCACAGTTAAGTTTTGCTTTCTCTCGATTAACTTCCTGACCCCTCTTATTAGTTGTGAACAACAATTACACTATTTGTTTTCTCTTCTTGCTTTAACTGTGAAGAAGCTCAGTAGGAATCCCTACTCCAGGTGTTTTCATGGAACTATTTTCCCTTTCATGTCCTCCTCTGCTCTTGTCTTCATGTTCTTTTACTCAGGTGTAAGCATGTATTTGTTTTACTCTTCTAGTACCTTTTCTTTGTAGGAGTGAGCTCTTCCATAAATGGTCCTGCTCGAACCATTCAACTATAGCACCCTGTTCTCTTCTGTCACAGAGGTGGGTGGGTGACTACAGCTGAGCTGATTAGCCCTGTCATCTTCAGGACATGGCTGGATAGAGCTGAAAGCAAACCTAACCAACCAACCCAACTTACACCAAAATACACAACAGAAATTTCAAAAGTAAGCAACATGGCAGACTAAGAATTCCCTCAGCCCAATCCCCAATCTTCACTTCTGAGTAAGGTCTGAGATGGTCCCAACTTAACTGTACACTTATCTGCTATGTGCATCCTGTTTGCCGGATGACTCCCAATGCAGATATATTAAAATATAAAGCTTGCTTAATTTTGAAAATTGCACCAACGGACGTAGGCTCTGGATCTCCAAATTTACCGAGAGCAGGAATCTTACTTTTTCCCTCTATTTTTGATTAAATGTTCATCCAGTGCAATAAGAGCCACAATTGATGCAGTTATTAACATTTACGTTTCTCTTGGGTGTATAGTCAGTAACATGTCTGATGTAATCATTACTTTGCTCCCTCTTCAGACTTCGATGTCGCTCCTTTCTGAACTTCTGCATTTCTTCATTTTGAGTCTATATGCTCCTGGCATCACTTAATCCTTGCTTGTGGGTAGGGCATCAGGAAGGAAAGAAGTATCTGCTCATGTGATGGGCAGCGGGTAGGGACAGAGATCCTCTCATCCGTCTGGTGTGGCCTGATGGGTGTGGCCTTGGTGAGGACATTTGTCCATGCTTCCTTTGGCAGCTTTGCCTCGGCCCTCTCCATTACCGAAAGATAAAGAGACAGCTGTGTCTCCGTTTGGACCCTGCCAGGAGCATAGCCTTAAAAATCTTCTCTGAGCTGTTCTCCCTCTGCTTGGCTCTGTAGCCACCTGGACAGTTACCTCCCATGGAATAATACACTGTGGCTTCCTGAGATCGCCAGAGGGCAAGCAGACCCGTTTCTCTATTCAACTTCGCCCGACCCATCCCATAGCAGACGCATATCTGCTATTGTTTTCCCATTCTCCAGGGAGAGGGAGTGAAGGCAAGAAAGGACGAATAGCTGTCCTCCTAGACTCTACAAGTATACTTCGTTTTCAAAACCTTTTCTTATTTCCCTCCCTTGTAATGTCTCACAATATTGACAATAAAAATCAACGTTAGCCTCTGCAGAACCTAGAAGCATGCTGAACTCCTCATAGGAATAAGTGGGCTTCCTCAAGCTCTGTCACTCTGTTATAAACAGTGTTCTGTCCCTGCTGTAAGCAGTGCACAAAAGTGCCATTCCTGTTCTCCACGGTGAGTATCTCTGGGGAGGGTGGGAGGAGAGGATTGAGCAAAAAATGAATCCACGGGTATTTTACATTTTTTTTTGTTACATACGACTTATAAGTTGTTTTCAGTTCTTTAGCAAATAGGGAGGATGTTAATTGACAAGTATAAATAATAACCATTAATTTGTGATCTGTGACACTTTGTATTTTCATTTTCTTAGATATATTGTAAATTTGAGTCAATTTTTTTTAATATTTAAAAGAATAAAAATAAATTTGCAATAGTTTTATCTTTTTTACTTTATATGTATGTGCAAAGTAACTTTGGCTTTATTATGAGGCCCACGTCTTTGTGAACTGACAATGGGACATAAAGATCATATATAATATTACTCCATGAAAAAGTATATTCTGTTCCTCTCTATATAGTTTGGACATCAGTAGTGTATGAAAAGAGGGCTGACTCATAATTTTTTTCCTAGATTATATTTTAGTTATACAATATTTTGTTATTATTATTTTTTTTTCCTAAAAAGATCTCTTGATGCCTTTTCCCTTCTAAATGCATCCTTATTTTTTAGGAAATTTTCCAATCTCACAAGGTCATTTTAATATTACTCCAATTCTAGATTCTTCTTAGGAAAAAATTACTAAGGTTATTTATTTATTCACTGTGTACACTGTTTATACTTTAAAGCTGGACCGATCTTTACATTAAGAGTTTATTCTCTGGAACATAAAATGTTTAGAGCTAAAATCTGGCATGTTAATCTCAATGTAATTTTCCTTTTATCTGTCCATTAACAATAACTGCACTAGTAAAAATGATTAGTAGAAAAAGGCCACCTTGGTGAATTCTGATGTGGAAGATACTTGTGAAATCCATCCAATTGTATGAAACTCCTTGGCTTATAAACTGCTGTTATAAATCACAGGGTCATGTGGTTAATCTTCTGAGCGCTTCCATAAAAACGATCCAACTCTGCAGCCTCCCATGGCTTTCAATTTCAGTCATATCTGAGTCCTGACTATAAACTCAGGGTCAATAAACAGGTTAGAGATAAATAGAAGATACATTTGATAAAAAATAATATGAAACACTGAGGAAAGTTTAGCTAATTCAGGAAGAAACAAAAGTCTGAGCATTGTGGATAATTTAGAGGCAGAACAGCTATGGATCGGTGAGCTGAAGCTGGGCCAGTGATGTCCACTTGTAATCCTGCATTGAATTGTTGTTGATTGATCTTTGTAACTCAGTCTCCACTTCTAATGAGCACATCAATAGGATATATATTGACTTTCTAATGCATTGGTTTTATTAAAGAGGGAGCTGTTTCCACTTTTATAAGTGGAGAGCATTTGTAGCCATTCCTACATTTCAATTCTAAGCATTACTTATAAAAGTCATTTAGAAGGGCTTTTTTCAAAACCATTATGTTTTTATTTAATTCTTTATGTGCTATAAATTTTTAAAATGTAATATTAAAGACACACTGTAGTGAGAAGGGCTCTTGGATACAAATTAAAAGCCCAGTGCCTTCGTTTCCTTCCTGATATTAATTAGCTCTGTGAGTTTGGACAAATTACTTATTCTCTGAACATAAGGTCATAATTTTTCAAGGAAGAGCTAAGAGAGTAGATCAAGAAGACAGACTAGGCAGGTCCATTTTCTCCTTGCTCATCCCAAATGCATTGAATCAACAGAGAAAATATCTGTGTCTTTACATATCTATATCTAGGATGGACATATTTTTATCTGCCTGTCTTTCTACCCTACAAGAATAAACCTATTATGGAGCCAGAAACACGACAGGGTACCATTAGCAGACCGGAACATTTTAAGACATTTTAGATCTTAGCCAGAGAGATTAGATTGAGTGAGCAACCAGAGCTCACAATATAGATCTAGGCAGGATCCATTCTTCTGGCTAAACTCTTAAAAATTATCTCGCCTTGAAGACATATGCTGTTTAATAGAACACACCTAAGATAATTTTTTTTTAATGGAAAAGAATGATGGAAAAGATGGAAATGATGACAAATATGAGAAATAATATTAAAATCAGCAAAAAAGAATGTTAAGACTAAACTATTAAATTGCCCCATTTAATATTTTAAGTTAAATGGGAATATTATATAGTAATAAAAGTTGCAATCTCCAATATGTAGGATCATAGACCTCTTGGCTGCACCAGCCTAGATGGGAGCTTCCATATCACTAAGCCGAGGGTGGGAAATGAGGAGACAGGTCTTGGTTCAACTAGCACGAACTCTCAGAATTCTTACCAAGTTTTAGAAGATTTTCTTGAATTTTTTTCCATTTGCTGTCTGTTGTACTCTTTCAAAAGATTTCAAATAGTTGGTTTAAAAAATAATTTTCATCGTTTCTTTGGAAACTAGATCCCTGGAGTTTCTCATGTTCTCATGTAAGAAGTAAAGCTTCATCAGAGCCTTTTGAAGTCAGAAACAACACCTAACACATAGGTAGAGGAGAAGCTTTCAGTATAGCCAGTGGGACAGGAGATAAAGACAGACAGTTGAAGTCAACCATCCTCAGGTCAGAGATACAGTGTAAAAGTTTTCTTGGAACTGAAATGTTTACAAGTTTGTTTTATAATAACCTAGCTGAAAAAGTAATGACCTGGCAAATGTTCCCCTCTACCCGCAAATGAAATGTATTTAGAGCCTATAGATATCAGCTTATACACTAGATTTTCCCCTAAGTTTATGTTTATGCATGTTTTGCATATTTTTTTCAGTGCTGTTAGTAAAAAAGAACAACAAAAAACAAAACAAAACAAAAAACACTTAACAGTGGGGCCTAAAAAAATGACACATAGGATTTTGACCTGGAGCCAGAATTTTCATCTCCAACCTTGATCTTTCTTTGGCCCACGCAAGAAAGATAGGTTATCCCATTATGAGCCCAAATGGGCTGGATTTTAAGCAACTATGACAATAACTGGTTAATTATCCTGAGGCAACAGAGAACCAGGGCCATGATCAGGATCACTTGAAACAGGATGATCAGGCCTCCGTGAAGGAGGGCACAAAGCCATGAACCCCAAACATTCCCAAGTCAGGAAGAAATGTCCCATAGCCCATGAGAGATAGGAGCCTTTCTTCTTAAGCCTCATAATCAACTGTTCTACTTTGCCAGTTTTATTGATCCAGGTGAAAAATGAGGTTTTGCATATCACAGAGACCCACTCATCCTTGGCAGCCAGCAGGAAGTTGGGGCCACGTGTTTAACATTACCTGGGCCACAAAATTGAGGCTGATCTTTTGTGCCTTCAAAGCTGAAGTAGTATCATTGGTGACATCAGTGAGGGTCAGGGACAAGTTTTACAAAACATTTTTAATTGAAGGACCCTGACAATGGGGATAATCATATGGAGCACACTTATGATCAAACAGTTGATAATGTCACCTGTCAATTCCCTCAAGTAACTGGGATCTTACAGCTTTTGGAGTTCCCACCTAACTTAGCATAGTGGAGGACTTGTTTTGAATACTACTTGGATGTCTCTTATTAATGCCTCATTTGTACATGTTACATTGGTAGGAGGGAGACAAATGAAGGTCTTGTTTTTACAAACAATAATATCCCAAGAGTGTACACAAGGTGTTGAGAGGGTAGAATCAGAGACTACTATGAGGAGCAACCAGCTGAAAGTACTCCCTGATGAGGGGAGTTCTTACGTGGAATTGAAGAGTCTGTGTAGGGCTGGAGTGAGTATAGGAGAAGCCTGCCACTCTCCATACTTAAATATCCTCAACAGCGTATCCTATGCTCCCTTTCCTAGATGTTCCAGGTGCTCCTGCCTTTGATAAGAACAACTTGATATTAGGGATATTTAGGGAGGCATTTCACTTCTGCAGTGTCAGAGTCCAATTGTGGCAAAGCATCAGGGCAGTTTAATAAGGTTGGAGCATCTGAAGTGTCAGGTCTGTGGTTAGAGAAATATCTGTTCCTGGTGTTCAGTGGCACAGCAATCAAATGTTTATTTGTGAGGTTGGGTAATGGGCAACACATCCAACAGTTTATCAACTTCAAGGCAGTGACAGCTGCTTGGGATAGGTTTATCAACAAATTCAGCAAGGCAGGAGTCATGCAGGCTACTCTGTAGGAGAGAGAGAAGATTGCATCCCCTTCTCCCTCTTCTGTACACAAACCTTTAGGTTGGAAGGTGCTCACAGCTATTGTTTAATAGCCATTGTAATATCCCATTGATTTGAATCTGCAGGTGGAGGTCAAAGGGGACGAAGGGCTTTTGAAGGCTTCCCTATGGTCGAGGAGACTTGTGGTGTGGACAGTCTTTCCTGTACCATGAACAAGGGCAGCACACTTAATCTATCCTCTGGGGTGATGTCCCCCAAATTTTCTGGCTTGGATCCTTTTGAGGTTCACTAAATATTTCTATTTTATATACTGATATTGGTCTCATGGGGCTACATGGAGCAAAGTGTCAGGAACACCTTAAGAAAAACATGGAACTAGAGATCTCAAATTAATGGTCCTTATTTTTGAAGTCCTTGTTGGCAAAGATTCATCTTCTGCCCCTGGGTGATAAATGGAGTAGGCGGTTACTGTCTTACACTCCTCATTGTTTAATAGCCATTGTAAAATCTCATTGATTTGAATCTTCAGGTAGGAGTGGAAGGGGATGGCAGGCTCTTGCAGGCTCCCCTACAGAGACTGAGATGTCAATAATTATAAAAGAAGAATGTACAGTTGAAGGAAGAGGTCAGACAGCCTGGTAAATCATACAGCACAAATGAGAAGTATCCTTTCAGGGAATTGGTGCACTGGGACCCTAGGCTGATTGCCTGAGATTTGTAGTCCAGGCTGGAATTGTTTTTACCCCTCCCATCAGCCACTTAAGCCTCTATTTTAATTGTCCATTAAAATGCTCAGTCACCCCTACAACTTGGGTGTGATACAGAACATGAAGAATTGATTGTATGCCCTGTGATTGGGCCCACTGATGTGTAACTTGCACTACAATTTGGGGGCCATTACGA